GGGGCTGGCAGCACGGTGGGGTGCCTGGTGGGTTGTGTCCCTGGGAGAGCTGGGGTGTGCAGCCCTGTTTCCCTCTCTTAGCTGTGCTCAGCCTTTTGTGAGCCCCTGGTTTGAGCCAGGCTGGCCGGCTGAGCGGAAGGGAGGGTCCCCCGTGGTCTCGGGTTGGGGGGGGACCTCAGCCGAGCGCTCTGCTGTGCCTCTGGCCCAGGCATAGTGGCAGCCCATGCTGCTGGGGTCATGTCTTTCGTGTGTCGTTGAAGCCTGGGAGCGGTTCCCGGCGGCGGCTCTTCGGGGGTGTGCTGACCTCCAAGAGCACGCTGAACACGCTGGGGGTGGCTGTCAACCGCACGCTGGCCCACCGACTGGAGCGCCTGGTGTACTTTACCGGTACACGGGGCCGCAAGGTGCCGCACGGCATGACAGTGGTGACGCACAGCGATGAGCGGCCCATCTGGAACATGTACCAGACTGTCAGGTACCTTCTGGACCACTACGTAAACGACTTCGACTGGTTCTTCCTGGTGCAGGACGATACTTACACAGAGGCACACCGGATCAGCCGCCTGGTTGCCCACCTCAGCATTGACACCCACCTCTACATGGGTCGCCCCGAGGAGTTCATCGGTGGGGACACCGAGGGACGCTACTGCTATGGGGGTTTTGGCTACCTGCTGTCCCGCAGCCTCCTCCTGCTCTTGCAGCAGCACCTGGAGAGCTGCCGCAATGACATCCTCAGTGCCCGGCCCGACGAGTGGCTGGGCCGCTGCATCATCGATTACACAGCCGTCAACTGTGCTGAGGAGCACGAGGTAGGTCCTGCAGCAGAGATGGCCTCCAGGAGCCTGACCCTGGCCCAGTGTGTTTCCCTGCCTCCTCAGGGGCTCCTAGGGCCTGGGGGACCAGCCCTTGTGCCCCATTGTCCTTTGAGCTTGGTGTGCTGGTGGCTGGTGGGGTGGGAGCGCAGGTCAGGGCCGGCCATGACCTCTCTCTCCTGGCTGGCACAGGGCTTGCGTTACCACTACTTCGAGCTGGGGAAGAATGCAGACCCTGAGCGGGAGACCGACCTCCGTCTCCAGAGCGCCTTCACTGTCCATCCTGTGCTGGATCCCCTCCAGATGTACCGGCTGCATAAGTACTTCGCGCAGGTGGAGCTGGAGAAGACGTACCAGGAGATCCAGCAGCTCCAGGTGAGACCTGGCTTGGCTGGGAGGGTCTGGGCTCCTCCTGTCATTCTTTTGGGCTTTCTGGTCGCTCTGTGTCACCTCTCCACTCTAATATGAGGGTTTCTCACCCGAACCTGCTGTGGGACGGGATCACCTGTGCTCACCTTGGCTCTCACTCCTCTCTCTCCTCCTGCAGCTGGAGATCCAGAATGCCAGCAGCCTGTCTGCTGATGGGGACCACGGCGCCACGTGGCCCATTGGCATCCCGCCCCCCTTCCAGCCCAAAACTCGCTTCGAGGTGTTACGCTGGGACTACTTCACGGAGGAGCAGGTCTATGCCTGTGTGGACGGCTCCCCCAAGTGCGAGCTGCACGGTGCGGACCTGGCAGATGTGGCCGACGTGGTGGCCACGGCCATGGAGGAGCTGAACCACAAGTACCAGCCGGTGCTCCACGTCCGCAAGCAGCAGTTGGTGAACGGGTACCGGCGCTTTGACCCCACCCGTGGCATGGAGTACACGCTGGACCTCCAGGTGGAGGTGGTCACCCAGAAGGGGCACAGCCGCTCTGTCACCAAGCGCGTGCACCTGGTGCGGCCCCTCAGTGAGGTGGAGATCATCCCCATGCCCTACGTGACGGAGGCCAGCCGCATCAATGTCATCCTCCCACTGACGGCCCACGACCGGGACCACGCTGCCCACTTTTTGGAGGCTTATGCGGCGGCTGCCTTTGAAAGCAGCGAGAACGCGGTGCTTACCTTCCTCTTTATCTATGACCCCTTTGAGGCCCAGCAGGTCACCCAGAATGACATCTTTGCCTCCGTGAAGGCCCAGATTACCGAGTACGAGCGCAAGTATGCAGAGGTGAAGATCCCATGGATCAGCGTCAAGACGGATGCACCCTCCCAAATCAAGGTCATGGACATTATCTCCAAGAAGCATCCCGTGGACACACTTTTCTTTGTGGCTGGCGGGGGGGCAGAGGGCACCGTCGACTTCCTGACCCGCTGCCGCATGAACACCATCAATAACTGGCAGGTCTTCTTCCCCATCCACTTCCAGGGCTACAACCCTGCCATCGCGTACCACAACCAGGTGCCGCCTGCCACGCTGGACCTGCTGCGGGACGCGGGGCACTTTGACCGTGACGTCTTCCACGAAGCCTGTTTCTACAATGCCGACTACATGGCAGCACGCACTCGCATGGCAGGTGACGTGCAGGAGAACGAGGACATCCTGGAGACCCTGGACATTTACGACATGTTCATCAAGTACTCCAACCTCCATGTCTTCCGGGCTGTGGAGCCCGCCCTGCTGCAGCGCTACCGGCACCAGGCCTGCAACCCCCGGCTCAGCGAGGAGATCTACCACCGCTGCATGCAGAGCAGCCTGGAGGGAGTAGGTTCTCGCTCCCAGCTGGCCATGGTCCTTTTTGAGCAGGAGCAGGGGAACAGTACCTGAACCTTGGGGCGCGGAGGGGCTGGCCCTGCCCTGCCGTGCCTGCCTGCCCACCCCATCTCTTCTGCCCAAATCTGTCTTCCTCCTCCTGGTGGCTTCAGGGATTGCTGGTGCCCAAGCTCGTGACTTGTCCTGCTGGGCCTGCCTGGGCCGGGGTCTGCCAGCCCAGGGTGCCTGCGTCCTTCTGGAGTGGCCACAGCTGTGCAGACCCCGGGGCGAGGTGGGGTTGGAGTCACCACGCTGTGAGCCGGAATGCCTGGCTCCTCACCCCAGAGCTGCTGGCTGCCGGCCCCATCCCTCTGTCCTGGCCCCGCTGCCCAGCGGGGAGGTGATGGGCTGCCCTGTCCCTTGCTGTCACCCCTCAGCTGGGGGCACACAGAGCCCAGGGCCCCCCTGCTGCGGGGCTGGGACTGCCACGGGGCTGGGGGGGGCAATCCCATGCGGTTCCCCTGTGCCCCTTGCCCCTTTAGTGCATTGGCCCGGTCGTATGGGGACAGTGGGATGGGGCACATCCCACCCCAAAAGAGCAATAAGGAGGTTGGTTTGGAGCTTTTGCCACTTGGCAATGAGCCAGAGCACTCCTGACGAGTCAGGGTGGGGAGTCCTGGCCCCCCGGGTTGCTGGGCATAAGGGGTGCCGGAGGGGATCCTGCTGTATTCACGTACCGTGAGCTGCTCCCCATGGGAACCGTGACCCAGGCCGCTTCGGCCTTCGCAGTATCGATAGGACGTCGGAGGTCGCAGCCCTCGGACAGTGGGAGCCCTCCCTGCCGCGGGGGCCTCCCTCGGGGGTGGAGGATTCGGTGCCCGGCTTGGTGGGCACGGTAGAGGGTTTGGCTGCGCATCTCCTAAGGAGAAAGCGACTGAGGAGCCGCTCTCTGCTCCTGGTTCATATTTAATAGTGGGGAGGGGGGGGGGGCGTTTACACTAATAAAACAGAGAGATGAGAGATGATGGGTCTGGCTGATTCTTCCGTGGGGCATCTCTGGGCGTCCTGCTGGGGGTCTGTCTCGTGGTAGTCTCTGGCTGCTTGTATGAAGCCTGGTTGCAGCTGGCGGGATGGCTTTCTCACAGGGATGCTGTTTTCCCCAAGCTGTGTGTTGCGTCCTCTACCCGAGCTGGGAGGTGACCCGAGCTGGGAGGTGACTGCCTCTCTTTTGTGAGGCCAGGAGGAGCCCATCGGCTTAGGGACAGGCTGGCAGATGCCAGGCCAAGCAGACGCTTGGAAATACCAGCTCGAACCCCAGGGGGCTCACAGCTGGAGCCTTGCACCTCCTCTAATGCCCACTGTCCCTGAGGCCAGCCTGCTGTCACCATTTGCCACCAGTGGCACTGGTGGTGCAGCAGGATGCTGAGCCCCTTGCCATGGGAAGCCCCAGTGCCCCCGTCCAGTGTGCTGAGCTCTGGGCAATGCCCTCGTCTTTCCTGGTGCTGTAAATTCATCATCCTTCTGACCAGGTTTCCAGCCCTTCTCAGCCCTGGTTGTGGGTGGAAAAACACTGTGGTCAGGGGCTGGTGCAGCCATGTGTCCTCCCACGTGTGCTGTTCCCATAACAGCCTTTGTGGGCTGTATGGGAGTAATGGGTGACCCTGGCCCACGTCGGAGCAGAGGTTAGGTGACCACATGGGGTAAGCTCTGCCCTCCAGCAGCTGGGATCAGCTCCAAAGGAAGCTCCTGGGCCAGTAAACCGCATTGGAGGATGGTGTTGAATCGTTACTCTGGGGTGGTTTCACCCTTTTTCAGGCTGTTTTGCATTTCAGGGCTTCTCAGCTTCTTGTGGTTTCCAGTTCCCTGCTGCCGTGGTGCTGGGCTGAGCAGAACACCATGGTCTTCCCCTGGACTGTCTCACCACCTACAGCTCATCTTTGCAGTAGGACCGCCCCCCCCCACCCCCGTGCTGCCTGCTCCAGGCATGATTTTCATGGCTCTGCGTCTTCTTCCCACCGGTCCTTTGCTCATCACCTTTTACTTGTTGGCGAGACATCCGTATCAAAGGGACATCCCCAAGAAAATTAACTGAACCTACTTGCTGTTGGCTAGCTAGGCTACTAGTGCTCAGTGAAACTCAGGGAAAGCCCCTGGGCTGCCTTCCCCCAAAATACCTCATTCGCATGTTCCTGCTCCAGCCTCCACATCCACGGTGTAGGAGCGTATATGTTTAAGTATAATTGTATTATATTGCAGACGATAACCATTAGCTTGCTCTGAGTATTTCTATCTTTGATCTTCCCCAAGCACATCCTTAATTCCCTTTAAATGTGAATCTGGGACAGAGGGAGCGAGGCGGCTGCAGGTGCCTTACGGATACGTTTCTCCTCTGAAAAGCAGACCTCGTGATGAGGTGTTAGAGGAGTATCCAAATGGTAATAAAGCAAACTGGCTTCAAATCAGGTTGGCTGTGAAAAGAAGTGCTGAATTGTCATTTAATTGCTGCAAGATGGTCTAGATAGAGTTGCTCTTGTCTCCTCTTCGCTGTTTGCTCAGACAGGGTTTGAGCTATTTGCATACCTAACGCTCCGCACTGTCAACACCAGGG